AAGCCGCCGGCGGGTTTGGCGTTGAGGAGCCGCTTTATCTGCGCTGTCGGGGACATGTTGCTTGTTTTTCCCTTTCAGCTATGCCGTGTCGCGGAAGATCGAGCCTTTCTACAAAGGAGGACGAGTTCAGGTGGGAAGAGCGACTTTGCTCTCTTCTGTCGAAGTCTTGAGAGAGGGCCGCTAGTACAGTGATGTGTCTGTTTAAACGTGCCTCGCCTCTCTGGTCCTGTAAATGCTTCTGGTTTCCTTTCTCTTCCCTCCAGGTAAACCGCGATGGAAAATTCATGTTTTGCCCCTGTGGGATCAAGCTGAATATAATCGATATAGAAACAGGAGCAGTTCTTCACAGCCTCGAACAGGTGAGATGAGCCAATGCCTGATGACGTTTGAAACTGTTGAATGTTTTTGAAGGCCCCTAGGGTATTTTACCTTTTTTGCCAGCTGTTCTTCTGCAGCTCTCAAGAGTGAAAGTTAGATGGGAGGATGAGAAATGTATCTTAATCCAGACAGTTATGTTATTGGTGTTCTCTGTAAGCACAACTGCAGAGCTGTTACATGTGCTTGGTGTCAATGGAAGCGTGTAGAAAAGAGTCTTGAGAGCCTTCAGAAGCACCACACAGAGGATTTAACTGTCTTTTCCTTCCAATTTTATAGGATGATCAAGAGGATATTACTTCCTTCATTCTTAGCCCTGATGACGAGGTATGTGTTTGCTTTGTGGGTTTTTTTACTGCTCTCTCGGGCCTCCTGATAAAGCTGGTGAGCGCTGAAGTCTGCCTGGAAGCACTGTCTGTTTCCAGACGTCTCTATATGGTGTCATCAGGTGCTTCCATCTGGCTTGCAGTCCGGGTTGGAATCAGACATGGGAATGATCCCTACCTTTGCATTTATTTGCAGCTGAAGATAGGGGACAGATCCAGGGACAGAAGCGCAATTTAATCTATTTTGTATGTGCCTGCAGAGACTGCATTGATTGATGTTGCGTTTACATCCCGAGTTATTTCTGGCTCCTTTCGTGTATCCAGGTGCACGCTGATGCGCTGCAGAAAATCTACTTAATAGTTAATCTTCCTTGGTGTTGCTTTTGGATAGATCCTTGTGACAGGAAGCCGAGCCCTGTTGCTGAAGCAGTGGAACTGGCGAGAGAACAAGTGTGTTCGCACGTGGAAAGCAGTGCATGTAGCACCAATAGCTAGCATGGCCTTTGACTCCACTTCAACGTTGTTAGCCACAGGTACAGTCCTATTTCATTGTCACGCAATGGGAATGCCCATTGTGCTTTTGCTTAATTTGAATAATTTAGCCCAACTTGACACAGTGTGAGGCAGCGGTCTTTTGAATTCAGGCAAAACCAGAAGAGATTTTGCCTAGGCAGTATCTATCAAGGCCTCACTTTTAACAAGGATGCTTTCAATATTCTAATGTTATACCTCGAACGTATTACTTACTTAAACATTAACTATAAGAAATCTACAAAGCAGTGTGGCCCAGTTGTCCCAGCATAGAACTGGGACTCTGGAGATGGAGAAAGGCAGTCATGACATGGAACTTAATTGTACTTGAGGTTTCTTGCCTGCAAGCAGTCAGGTTTTGCCCATTGCTCTGAAAGTGTAAAGTAGTCCTTGAGCTCCTCTTGGTGTTGATGGTTGTCACTGGTTTCATTTTACTCTCTGCTGCTATTTAATTTGTGAAATTTTACAATTGCTGATATATTGAAGCTCTTGTAGTTCCTTTCTCCATAATTTATTTTTTTATGCCCTTATCTTCCAAGGTGGCTGTGACAGCACCATTAAGATCTGGGATATGATCAAACAGTACTGCACCCACAACCTAAAAGGATCTTCAGGAGTTGTACAGTAAGGACAAGTCATATTTATCAGTCACTTCCGTTCTTCTGGTGTTAGTGTGATGCGTGGACACTGGGACTGATGTGGATGTCTTGAGTTAATGGAATGTAAAGCATCGTTCAGAGCATGTCCCAGACCCTTCTGTTTCCTGCTTTTTGAGGTGCTTAGTGAAGGACTAAGGCTAAAACTGACTTTAGCTTAGAGAGGAAACAATTTGATCAAGAAGTTTCTTAGGATCCTAGTGGAATATCTGTGCTTGGTAACTGATGTACTGTGAGAAAGTGTAAGGCTAGCAAAGAACAGTTGAAAGTTCCCTGGGGGGCAGAAGAGGAATGAATGAAGTCTTACAAAGGAAGTCCCAGTACAAATTCGGTTTGATTGATCTGTCACAGTCTATGTGTAGAATATATGTTTAAATACTGGGCTAAAGCTGAGGGGATGCCAAATAGCTTATTCCTGCCCTGTTCAAGTCTCTCTTTATCTCTCTCTATCTAGCCTTGTTGAATTCCACCCTGATATTTCACGTCTGCAACTTTTCTCTTCCTCAATGGACTACAAAATCCGAATCTGGGACCTGAATTCTAGCAAGTGTGTCGCTGTGCTGAGTGGCCATTTCAGTGCTGTCACCTCCTTGGCCTTTGCTGCAGATAGAAATACACTCATCAGGTAAAAACTTGTGGAGGCTTAGCCTTTCTGTCCCATTCATCCTACTCCCTGCCAGAAACAGGGCGTTTCTGTGATGTCTGGGAAGTTTGTCCTTTGAGGGGAAAGATTGCTGAAGGTGCCCAATCCCAGCTGGTTGGTATAAGGAAGTGACTGAGACTCTCAGTACCTGTGTTTCTGGTGACAATGCTATGCCACCCTCTGGAAGGCTGATATCTTTTTTTGTTATGGGCCTCTTCAGAAGGGTGTAGAACTCCTTTCGAAATTGCGCTCGGCGCCTGAGGTGAATGGTTTTATTAACACTGACACTCTCTTTTAACTTGCAGTTCTGGTCGTGATAAAATCTGTATGGTGTGGAACTTGAAAACGGGAGAAACTAAACGAACTATCCCTGTCTACGAGGTGAAATTGCATTTCATTTGTTCCTTTGAGATCCTCTGCAGTTTCTAGGTCACTGTTGCCATGATGCCGCTTTCTCCTTAAGTTTCTGTGTATTGTGAAATCAAGCTTTGTCTCCCTTGTACTTTACAGAAGTCATTAAACTCTGTTC